GTGCAGGCAACCTGTGGTAAGACAACATGATATCCTTATGGTTCTTCTGTCACATTGCCACTGCGATTGTGAATTTGCTGTACACGTTGCTATGGCTGAAGACATATAACCTGTTTATCTTGTTTCACATAGATTGTTATTAACATGTGCAGTTTCTCTTACCAATACTTTTTTCCAAAATCTCAAGTAACTGCTTCTAATGTTATACTTCTATTTTGTATAGGCTGCTGTTTGGATCATCCGGATAATGGATACAATCATGCTGCAGTAATCCGTTTCCCATCATGTTAGTGGGCTATAAGTTTTGTCTCATCCTATGCATAAGTCAGAATCTCTGTGTATAAGTTAGCAGCATGTTAGAGCTACGGTTGCTTACTCAATTTGTCGTATCATGCAGTTGACGACTTCAAGCTGTTCAGAGAGAGCATGGAGTACAAGGATGTAAGAACTCTGCTCAAATGTATTTCATATCTTGAGTTTCCTGCATACCACATTCGACTTACCCGAGTAAATTAAAACTAAAAAAAAATACAAGATAGAGGTACATACAGAATGATGGTGCACACACATGCAGGGTTGGATTCCAACTCTGAACTGAAGTAGGATAGCAAACTACAGCCATTGCCTGAATCCACACTCTTCCATAGGACTACTACTAGTCTTTGTCATCTCCATAATAAGTATAACTTGTGTGTTTGGCCTGTGAGTTGCAGATGTGGGCATCGAAGTTCCACCCGATCGTGGAGAAATCTCTGCACCTGCATTTCACCGTTGACCCCGTGGGGAACCAGCTGATGTAGACCGAGTGATGACTGGGATTCTGCTCTGACTACTCTGAGTTTGCTACGTGGTCGGTTGTCTACTTTTCTCTGAGCTGTTGCAAGCCTACAGTGGAAATGTGGAATGTTTTTTTTTTACATTAAACAGGAGGGGCGCACCCCTACTGGTGATTTATTAAAAAGTAATTAATAGTGAGTACAAACAAGGGAGGGGTGGAGTGAGGGAAGAGGGGATTAAGATACAAAGAAAGAAATGAAAAAAACGAGCCACACTAAGTAGATTAAACAAGGATGTTTAGCCATAACTCAATCAAAGGGAAGTAACTTCTTTTTGCGCACAGCAGAAGCAACGCAAATTCAGTCTTGAAGGTCCTTTTGGAATCTTGAATTGATGGTTGTTTGTTGTTGAAGATGATCCCATTTCTTGTTTGCCATATTGACCAACACATCAGGATGGTGATTTCAGTGAAGAAAGGGACCTGTAACTGTCTTTTGAAGCTTTCTAGGTTCTGAAAGAGATCCACCTGTGGGTTGATTTATAAGCCCAACCAGTTCCAGCAAGTGGAGGCAAAAGGGCAATCTATTAGCAAATGGAATAGTGTCTCCTCCGCTGATGAGGTGCAAAGAACACAAGTATAATCCTCAAGTTTCATGTTTTTTCTTCTGAGAAGTTCTCTTGTGCTCAGCCTGTCAATCAAAATCAGCCAAGCAAATACTTTATGCTTGTTTTGACAGGAGCAGTTCCAAATCCAATTGTAGCTCTGGTGTATGATTCTGTGTCCACTTAAGTGCCTGTATGCTTTTGCAACTGTAAACCTTCCCGAATTCCATATACATGTTCAGTGGTCATTGTTGTCATTGAGAGTTAACTGTTGTAGGTCTTGCTGTAATTGAGTAAATGATCAAAAGCTTGCTGTGATAGTGGTAAGTGAAAAAGGTTCAGAATGTTTTCCCTTGATTTGGCTTCCGCTAGAATTGTTGTCTTTGATTTCACAAATGAAAAAAGTTCTGGATAGGTGTGCATTGGGACCTTGTTGTTCCATAAGTCTGTCCATAGGAAGCATGACTTAGCATTGTTGATGTTTACCATTGCTAACCCTTTGAATTTGTCCAGTAATTTTAACATATCTCTCCACCAAAAAGAGCCTTTCTTAGCTAGAGATGGTAAACTACCAGCCTCATAGTAACTCTCCCATACAAGTGAAACCTAGGGTAAGTCTTCTCTGTTGAAAATTTTCATCAAGTGCTTTAGGAGCAGTGCCTCATTTTGAGTTTTGAGATCTATCATTCCCAGTCCCCCTTCCTGCTTTGATTTACAAACATTTGTCCAGGCAGCTTTTGGCTTTTGTCTTGCATTGAGGTCAGCCCCTCTCCATAGACACAATTTTCTGAATTTATCAATTTGAGCAATCACTGTGTTATGAAGAGCAAAAGTGCTCATGCAGAAAGTAGGAAAAGCTGAGAAAACTGAGTTGGTCAATTCTAGCCTTCCAGCTTGATTGAGGAAAATTGATGTTGCAGCTAGCCTTCTTTCACATCTGCTGACAAGAGGTGAAAAATCAATGACTTTGGGCTTTGTTAATCCAAGAGGCAGGCCCAGATATGTGAAAGGCAGCTTGCCTGTCTCACAATTGAAAGTCCTTGCTAGATGGTCAAGCTTACTCTCCTGAATATTGATTGGCACCATGACTGATTTGCTATAGTTCACTTTCAGACCTGTTGATTCACCAAAAGAGTGTAGCAGGGCCTTTAAAGTGAGGAGTTGTCTGCTGCAAGCTTCCATGACTATCAAAGTGTCGTCAGCGTATTGGATTATTGGGAAGTCCGATGAACATCTTAGAGGTAAAGGCAGGTGGAGTAAATTTTGATCTTTGGCTTTGTTAAGGATTGATTGACGTAGATCTGCTACCAGCACAAAGAGTAAAGGTGAGTGGGTCTCCCTGCCTAACACCCCTTCTGCAATGTAAAACCTTGCTAGGTACTCCATTCAGTAGCACAGAAGAAGTTCCAGTGTTAAGAATTTTCTTGATCCAATTTGTCCACTTTTCTCCAAAATCCTTGGCCCTAAGGACTTGGATAATGACTTCATGTTCCACTTTATCAAAAGCCTTTTCAAAATCAAGTTTTAGAATAACCAATTCTTTCTTTGATTTGTGGCATAAGTGAAGATATTCCAAAGCCCAGGCTAGGCAATCTTGAATAGTTCTGGTCTTGATGAAACCATATTGGTTTTTGTGTATGAGTTGCCTGATTTTCTTCTACAGTCTATTAGCTAACACTTTAGTGATAAGCTTGAGGGATGTGTTGAGAAGGGAGATTGGTCTGTAATCTACAGCTGTGGAAGGACCATCTTTCTTGGGAATGAGTGTTATGTGAGAGGAGTTAATACTTCTAAGACAAATGTCTTCATCAAAAAAAGCTTCAAACAATCTGTATAAATCAGGAGCAATTAGGGGCCAGCAACCTTTGATGAATTCATTATTATATTGCTGAAAGGAGCTTGCAGTTCATTCAGTTCTTCATTTCTGGTTATAAGGACATTCAGATTATAGAGCATCTCCTTGAATTCAGTCTTTCCTAATCTGTCCTTAAAGCTTTCCCACAAAATTTTGGCTTTACCATCATGATCTGTTATGTTATCTCCTGAATCATCTTGTAGACAGACAATAGTGTTCTTCCTGTGTCTGATGGTTGCATGTGCATGGAAGTATTTAGTGCTTGCATCTCCCTCTTTCACCCAATTAATTTTGCCCCTTTGCTTCCAGTATCTTCTCTGTTGTCTGAGTAAAGAGACCAGCTTTGAACTTTAAATTTCCCTAAAATTCCATTCAATCAAAGAGAGGTCTCTGAAGCATTCTATCGAATCCAAAAACTGCAGGATCAGTTTGGCATTTTCGATGAGCTTGGATAATGGTGGTGTCCTTGCATTCCAATCTTTTAGTACTTTTCTCAGGTTTTTGCATTTGCCCGTTAAGGCTTTTGCTGGATCATTGGGTAGGTATGGTGCAAACCACCCCCGTACTACTGTTGTGGTAAAATCATCTCTGTCCAACCAGTGGTTCTCAAATCTGAAGATATGGCCCTTTGGGATTTTGGTGTTAATTTCAATGATACATGGCCAATGATCTGATGTTTCCATTGTCATAGACCTCACTGTTGTGTTTGGGTATTTTTCTGTCCATGCATTGGAGGTGAAGAACCAGTCCAATCTCTTTAACAAAGGTGAGAGCTGCTTATTGGTCCAAGTGAAGTGGTGGCCATGCATGGGGAGTTCAATGAGTCCTAGAGTGTCAATGGCTTCATTGAATAAGTACATCTTAGCTACATCTCCTCCCTCCCTGTTTCTGTCTTCAGGCCTTCAAATTAAGTTGAAATCACCCACTATTAGCCATTACGTGAGTTCTGGCATTTGGATGTTCTTAAACCACTCTAGAAAAGCTCTCTTGCCAGACGACGTGCAGGGGGCATATATTGTGGTCAGAATCCAGGAGCTGTTGTTCAGGGCGGATCTCATTTCAATAGAGATAGCAAAATCATTCTGAAAGATCTCTGTTCCAGCAAAGAGTGCTCCCTTCCAGGCTACCAGTATGCCACCAGATGCACCAGTTGAAGGTTTGTATACAAATGAGTCAAAGCCATGTGGGCAGATGTTCTCGAGGAAGACATAATCAATTATCTCATTTGTTTCTTGAAGGCACACTATATCACTTCTGCTTTCAATCACTTTGTCTCTGATGGAATTCTATTTTTTATCTGAATTAACTCCCCTCACATTCTAACACAGAATTTTCCAGAATCTATTTGTACTCATTTGGGGGTAGGGGTTTGCCTGCTACAATTTATGGAGACAGAAGTTCTCTCCATACTAGAAAAAGAAAGCCAACAAAACAGAAACCCTCCTAGACCGAGAGAACATACGAAAACCATAAAGACACGCAGAAGAGGCACAGAAAACATTAACTGAAAAGATAAGGGCCAGGCAATCATTACTGGCCTACAGTGCCACAGAACAAGCTTAAAGAGTCTAAAACACCAGGTAGAGATCACTGGCCAACCGATCCAAAATACAGGCTCATAGAGCCGTAACCACCAGGAAATAAGTTCAACTAACATAAGGAAACAACTAGAGAAAAGCTAGAGATAAAAAGAGCAGGACTGAAACATCAGTCGGCCTTCTTCTCCTTGCTTGGCCCCACGCCATCTTCAGCTTCATCTTTGCTACTAGTGCTTTTCCCCCTTCTTCTTTGAAATGGGCTTGGGCTTCTTCTTCCTGCTTAGAGTAGCTTCTTTAACTTCTTCTGAGCTTAGCTGGCACATCTTGGTGCCAATGTTCTGCAGTGTGTCCAGTGAGAGAGTTGGTGGTTCCAGATTACACCCCAGGCAGTTTGCAAGCTTGCAGCCACTTGGCTTGAAACCATTGAATTTTTCCCTTACTCTGCTGCTCCTCCTTACTTCAGAGTCCACAACTGGTGACTGAGTCTTGGGTTTCCTTGCTCTTTTTTTGCTCTGTGGTGACAGGTTGTATTCTTCTTCATCTTCTAGGATCAGTGTTTCTACTGGCACTACCGAGCTGTCAAGGGTGCTGAGTTTACCACATTGTCCCATCAGTTGTTTGATAGGTTCAAATGGCAGGGTGAGTTTTGTGGCATTCCATGGCTGGTATAAAGTCTCAGGAAACTGTGTTTGCAGCAATTTCTTTGCCCAAGCAAAGTTTGATGGGGAGCTTAAGAAAACCTTAAAGAAATCAGCCCACTTCTTTGGCATCTCGACGGAGGTCATTTCTGCACAATTCCCATTGGCATCATTGTTGACTGTCTTACTGATTACAAGGATAGGCTGCAGCAGGCTAGGAATGGGATCACTGGTTGCATTCTTGATGATAGGGGCTGGCTCAAAAGGGATGAAAGTGGGCACAATTCTCACCAGGCCTACATAATATTGTTGATGACCACATTATCATTGTTTATCCTAATTTCACCAATATTTTCAGGTTCCCCCTGTTCAGGATTTGCTTGCACTTGCTCTAGGTCATCCATCAGCTCATCTCCAACATTTTCAGCCTCCCCTTGCCCAGAGCTCACGTCCTCCTGCTCAGGATCAGACATCAATTCATCTTCATTAATCTCTAGAGGCACGAAGTTGATTTGCTGCTGTGGTGGAGGAATGAATGGCTGGTTCTCTGCCACTTCTTCTATCAGAACTAATTGTTCCTAGGCTGGCTGTGGCTCTGGTTGGATGGGTTGATGAATTGCAATTACTATCTCAGCCTGCTGCTGTGCTTCCATTGGCCCAGGGTGAATTAGAACTTCTTGCAGGTCTTCATTCATTGGTGCTTCATTCAAATCTTGGGCCAGCACTGGAGGGGCCACATTCAGATTGATCTCCTGGGGGAAAACAGGCTGAACAGGTACTTGTATGGGTGCAATCTCCTCAGGCCATTGGGGCCAGGCATTCTCCTGTTCCTGTTGTTCTTGCTGATCAGGTGCTGCATCATTGATGCCTGGCAGCTGGTGATTGTGATTTGGCGCTTCTATCTGTTGGCCAAGGCCAAAGAAGTCAAACTGCTGTACACCCTGAATATACTGCTGCACTGGAATCTGATCCTCGTCAGTTGGTCCTACACCCAACATCTCATGTTGTATGATTTCACATTGGATTGTCCATGATTCCCCTTCAAACCTTGGTGAGTCGGCGAAGGCTATGAACTGCGGGATGGACTCCAGATCAGTTACTCTGGCTTTGACAATGATTCTAGCCAGACGAGCTGAGACCCCAGTCCAACTGATGACTCTACCAAAGGGACCAATGACATCCTCTACATATTCATCCTCACAATAATCAGCATGGAAACCCAATAGCAGCAAACGTACTTCCCTATTGAAATACACTCTTCTCCAGTTTCTACCTTGATTGTGCCTAGCAAAAGAGATGTTGACATCTCCAAAAGGGTGTGGGCTATCCAGAACAAAGGCATCTCTATCAGCATCATAGGCAAAACGAACTAGAGCCTGGCCCAGCTGAGTAGGTTGGATATCTCTGATGTTGACACGCTCTTGATCAACCAAATACTCTCTAAGCACCTCCCTTACTACAGTGAAGTCAAGAGGATTACCCAGGAGTGGATTGATTGTTACGATGGCCAGGTTCTCGTTCCTAGCCAGGGGACGGGACTGTGCCACTGCTCTGATCATCCGGACTCTGTTAGGGACATCCTCCCACTGCATTCCAGGTGGCACGAACGGCGTGGGATCAGCACGTTGGAGCGCCATTTCTTGCTGCAACAGAGGACGATTAGTTGTTTGTGGTGGACTGGGATGAGTGCGGTGATCTTCCAGTTCTTGCTGTGCTCCTTCAGAAGAAGTACGTGGTGGTGTGTCCACAGTAAGTACCGTGGAAGGTGAAGGGCCAGCCAGCGATAAAAAGGGTTTTTTACCCAAGATTTCCCCTGTCCCGTGGAGCAAAGTTGTATTGGGCCCAGACGTCATAGGTTGTGGAGACGGCTTAGCCGTTGGTTACTGTGTCTTTACAAACGCCCACCACTCAGTAAATGAGTTGAGGGACTGTTTGGTTCCAAATAAGTCATCTACTTATAAGTTAAAAAGTGAAAAAAGTGACTTATTTTGTTAAATACCACCAAGTTATAAGTCATCCCTGCTTATAAGTTTTAAGTTGGTTCACCCCTGCTTAAAACTTATAAGTCACCCTTTTTCACGTGGGACCCACACATTTAATGAACTTATAAGTCATCTACAACCAAACAGGCATAACTTATAAATCACTGATTTTCAGTCACTTCACTTAATAAGTCACCTGACTTATGGAAACCAAACAGACCCTGAGAGTGGGTGGGCTGCTTGCACTTGGCCCAAGATGCAGACTTGTTGCCTTGGAAAACAGCTTGGGCTGCTCCAAGATTGCTTTGCCTTTACTGTAGCTTGAAGGCTTCACTGCTTCCATAACTGCGGCCCTTGGTTCAATACAATTCTCAGCAATATGCTTCTGGAAGCATTTTATCAGAGATTTGCACTGGCTTCTTGAGTGTCTGTCTGAGAGGCAACGAGAACATATCCCAGGAATTGCTCTGCGTGATAGATACTGGGTGGTTGGGGGTTGGCCATTGTTTAAGCTTAAATTCAAATTCAAAGGTCTGTTGACCATTTGACCCTGGTTTCTGACAGTTCTGGAAGACTGTTGACCCCCAGTGAACCTTCGCTTGAGTGGGTCGGGAAACGGTGGCCGTCGCCGTCGCCTGAGAAGAACTATTTGCGGTGGCTGGAAAAATGAGACGATCAAAAGCTGATCGACGCAATGGAATGCTATTGGCCCCAGTTAGAATGCCTGATTTCACAATCTCAGCAAAAGAGCGTTGAGCTTTACCCTTAGCTTGCTTTCTAGCCTCTGACCAAGAGTCTTCTTCTTCTTTGGTAAAAGCTGCAAGTTCTGATTGCCAACGCGGACCACCATGGCTCCAAAGGTGGAAGTATACTTTGTATGCAGCACACTCAAAGCTGATGAGCTTGGAAACATGGAAGCCAACGCTTCTGGAAGAAACAGAGAAGCGAAAAACTCTAGGGGCTAGATGAAAAACACCAAAAGCAGAGGCAGAACCACCAATGGTGGCCTGGAGAAGAAGACCGACTGAAAATTTCGATAACTGAAACTTACACCGACCAAAAGAAGCAACCAAAAAGAACTGAGTCCGAGAGAACTCGAGTGGGGAAACAGGGCAACCGAACCTTTCAAAGATGGCTTTCTGAACTCCATGACCGGGACGGAAGTTTAGTCCTGGCATCGCCTCCATCGCAGAGGCACCAAGGTGTTGAGAAGCCCTTTAAGCTTCAGGTCGCTGGGAGGCCCGATGTTGAGCAGCTAGCGTGTGACCTTCAAGAACTCCAGCGCAGCAACCCTTCAAGCTTCAGATCGCTGGAGAGTCCCAACGTCGAGCAGCATGCGTGCAACCACCAAGCACTCCGGCGCGGCAGGTCGCTATTGGTGTTGTCATGGCTGGAGAAGCCTGAGCCGGATCGATGGCCACGCTCTCCTCCTGCAGCCGCCTGAGCAGCGGCACCGGCGCCGCGGCTATCCACCACCGGCAGCCGGCCCGTGCAGGAGTCGTCGTCGTCACCAGCCGGCGGAGCTCCCCCGCGAGCGTTCGCGCCGCCGATTAGTACATGAGCCGGCAGCGTCTTAGCAGCGCGGCGGACCTGCCGAACTTGACAATCTGTTGTCAGTACGCTGCCAACCGGCAGGGAGGAGACGCGGCTGCGCTGCGGCGGAGATGGGGAACGGAACGGAGGAGAAGAGGGGAACCCAGTGAATATTTTGTAGAAGGACAGCCTCTCTTATCATGAAATGTGGAATGTTCGGGTTGGACAAGAAAGACCGGTGTACCCTCTCCAGATGAACACAGATAATCTTGCTGGGAGTTCCATCTCAGATTACTGTTTGCTGTCCTGCATCGGCTCCATTCGACTTACCTTAAATCCGATTTGTTCGACTTCTTTTTTCAAACGAAACAGCGTTTTTCTCTCACAACATTTCAGTCAGAATAGTGTTTTTCAGCTAATTTGAGCCAAGTTTCAGCGAGCCGAACAGAACACTGCGTCAGCACGCAAGTTCTGTTCTGCCCCCCACATCGAGAGACTAATTTTCGTATTTTGGACTCTTTTGAAAACAATTTTTAGAAAAATACCAACGTTAAAACATTTTTTTGAAAATAGACCATTTTTAGGCGTCTTAGCACATGATGCCGAGATATGAGGCTCGGCGTCGTGTCACTCGACGCCGAGGTATTGCCACGTCACGGACGACCGGGGTCGTCGTCGACACGTTGGCGCGTGGGTCCGAGACGTCGGCGTCGTGTCAGCCGACGCCAAGTACCCAACCTCGGCGCGGTCTAACTGCGCGCCGAGCTCTGGCCCCATCCGGAGCGCGGCCCAGGCGGCCCAACAAAGCACGGTGGCCCAGCAGCTCGGCGTTGGGTCACTTAACGCCGAGCCTCCAGACCTCGGCGTGACCCGACTCAACGCCGAGGTCTGGACCCTTTAAGCCGATGCCCCCTTCTTCTTCTTCCCTCCCTTCCTTCATTCCCCCACGGCTCCCAAATCCCCCACGGCCCCCACGAAACTCTAACCTCCAAAATCGACCCCCGGTGCCCGGATCTTGTCTCCCGAAGCTTCCTCGAGGTAATGGTCCCTCCCCTCCTCCATTCTATCCGCGTAGATGTGCTTACATTGTCCCTAATCATGTTGAATCATGGTTGTTTGGTGATTTGGTATATTTGTGTTTGCATTTGCAAAATGCATGGCTTAGGATGATTGAGTGCATTGTTGTTTAACTGTTTTATGTGATGAACATGTTAGGTTAGTTTAGTTTCTAGTTATTTTGGTCATTAGGGTTATTTGTTTATTGTAGGTGTCATTAGGGTTAGTTATTTGTTGGTCATTAGGGTTACTATGTATTTTATTTATTTATTGGTCATTACATTTCAATTTGTTATGACCAAGGCGTTTTGCCAAGGTACTCCTCTTTCAATTCATCCATTTAGATTCGTTTGTTTTTGAACTTGGCATTATAGGTTTGGTTCATGTTCATGTCATTCGTGCAATGTATGGTGGTTCAAATGATTGAATGACCCAAATGTATGGTTGTTGGTGTTGTTGTTGTTGTATATGTTATGGTTTATAATCATTGAGTTAAATTTTGTGTTTATTGGGATTCAAATTTGTTTAGGGTTTGTAATGAAAAGCTTATTTGGGAGGTATGGTGATGTAGTGTTTGTACCTTTACATTCGTTGCAAGGTACTTTGGATTAATTTTTTTTTCTACGTAATGTTAGGATGCCAAGGCGTGGTAAAGCTCGTATTCCAAGGTAATCCCAATGTTTATTCATTATCTCAGTAACAAATAAATAGAAAACCCTAGGTTTAGGTTTGGTTCTCCGTTAATATGACTAAATTCTTTCAATTATAGCTATGGTCATCGAGAGGGCAAATCCCTACGACCTAAAGCCTCTCCCCTGAAGGTGTTCCTCGACCAATGTGCTTTTGTGGTGATCCTTGCAAGGTAGACATCTCTGAAGATGAGGAAACATATAGACAGAGGTACTGGATGTGTCCCAATTATGCATGGGAACCTACAAAGCAGCACAAAGGTCATGCATCGCTTGTGAGGAATTTTTATTGTGTTAATTAATTTTCTTGTGATATTAAGTATTGCTTATTTATTTGTTTTGTAACAATTTATTTTTCTTGCAGACTGCTCCACCACTGTGTGACTTTGAGCAATGGATTGACACTGAGATCAAGGAGTCGACAAGCAAATGCCTAGAAGGCCCTCAAGGAGTGGGATGCGGAGGTTAAGGAGAGGTTTGAGCAGAGACGCAGACCGAGGCTATAGAAAAGGAGCATAAGGAAGAGGAGGAAAGGAGGCGTGTTGTCACAGAGGGGGAGGAGAGGGAGAAGAAGCTTGAGCGTGTCGCCGAGCGAAGGCAGCGATGGAGGAGAATCCCGATGCCGAGAGGAAGGGAAAGTGGCCTCGTTACACTCAGTAGGTATTTGGTTCATTCACGAGCGATGTCGTGTAGCCCTGGACTTTTTTTACTATGTTGTAATGCACTTTGCTTTTATTTCAGATGAACTTATTCCCTGAACTTTTTTTATTATGTTGTAATGCACTATGATTTTATTTCAGATGGTCTTATGCCCTGTACTTCGTTAACTATCCTAAGACTGTAGTGGTACTGTTTGTATCACTAAAAAGACTACTTGTGTTGTTGCAGTCACTGAAAGGGCTACAAGTACTGTTGCAGTCACTGAAAGAGCTACAAGTCTATTTGAAAACTCACTGAAAAGCCTAGATTCGTTTACTGTTGTATCCGTATACGCAATGAATTAATATCAGAGTGATATACTGCATTTAGATGAAGTGACAAAACACAGGTGTAGCCTTTTTAGATGAAATGACCAGTCATTGTTGTAGGCTTTTCAGATGAAGCATCTAGCCTTTGCAGATTCAATAAATGAGTACGCACACATGTTTTTTGTCAAGTAGCATTCATGGTGAACCTGCCTTCATCTCTATATATAGTGCTCCATGTCTTGCTCCACATCCACACAACTTGTTTTCTGGTTTAGTTTTAGCAAATGTCGAGCGGAGGTTCCTCGAGTGGAAAGGGTTTCACGGAGGGAGAGGAAAGGGGTGAGGAAGGGCCTCCGATTGTGTGGGAGGGTTCTCTCCGGTCCCGATTCTTTTGAAGAACCAATAGAGGAATTTCTTTGAAGATGAAGAGTGACTTCACCCGTGAGAGACCTCTTAGATCATACGAGAAGCGCATTGAAGATTGGCCAAAATGCCGCCACGGTTTGGATTATGTTGTGCGGATGTACAACGACTATGATGGAGGAGGCCGTCGTTTCTTCGAGATGCCCGCGAGGATTTGTATTGCCTTTGAACTCTCTCCTTTTTAGATTTGCATTTAATTTCTAGTAGTACTTATTGGTAGATGGGTTTTCGAGATTCAAGTCGTCCAGATAATCGTGGCTTCACTAGATGGGTTGACCCTCCTCCTATCTATCCCCATCAACAATTACATCACATATCTACAGGGACGCATCTTTGACCTAGAGTATGGCCTCAAGTGGTAACAGGACAAGTCGGACGATGACAACAACAAAGAATGATGCGAGAGGAGGCACTATGCAATAATCCATATCATGAAAGTGCTCGTACCATAAGAAGGACGGACCTCCTTCTCCACCGCCACCGCCACCACCACCACCACCGCCTCCATCAACTGGAGGATACTATGGGGAAGACGCAACTCAGTTCAATATATGGGAGCATTATTAGGACCAACATTTGTTAGTCAATCCGAATGTGGAATGCTTGTATGAGTTGTTCTTTTCAATCTCGTAAGGCATGCTAGGTTTAGTTTGCAACATGCCCTTGTTAGTTTTTATGTGAGTGTGTACCCTTTGCAATGTCTCAGATCACTTGTTTCTTTCAATCCCCTAAGGCATGCTAGGTTTAGTTTACGACATGCCATTGTTACTTTTGATGTGAGTGTAATCGTTGTGCCTCCGCTATTTCATAAATTGCGCTTTACCTACCTCTAAGTTTCATGTACTATGGTTGATTCCCAAACTGAAAAAAAAAGATTTGAGTCTCTCTAAAATAGGGATTTGAAATCAGACCAACAATCGGTTTTTCCCTGCGGGAACAAACATACAAACATAAATATAACTTGTCTACTCTTATTAGTATAACTCGTGTTAGTCGAAGAGGAATCGTTGAGAAAGATTTTTCATTTGAATCATGCAAATAGGATCGCAACATATACCAAATGGTTTGGGTTTTGTTGAAATGAGGCTCGGCGTTGAGTCGTCCCGCCGACCCCTAGGGTTTGGCTCGGCCGCTTATGAGGTGTCTTGAGGCTCGGCGTTGAGTCGCCCCACGCCGACCCTAGGGTTTGGCTCGGCCGCTTAGGGTTGGGCTGAGGCTCGGCGTCGAGTCGGCCGCCCACGCCAACCCTAGGGTTTAACAACGGCGGCTTGCTTTGGGCCGAACCTCGCTAGCTTAGTTGTAACACACGAGTTTCATGGCTCGTCAATTTACCCCACGCCGAGCTTGGGCACCTCGGTGCTTCGATGCAAGGGTTTCCAGTATGTACCAGGGGTCGGCGTGAAATGACTAAACACCGAGGTTGGGCACCTCGGCGCTTCGGTGAATTGTTTTCCAGTATGTACCAGGGGTCGGCGTCAAATGACTAAACGCCGAGCCCCTGGGTTCACCAAAATATACCATCTATTCTTTGATTTGCTTCACTATTTCCCACTACTCTAATCAGCCGACGATGACCTTGTGCCAACAACGGACCTCGAGCTCGCTAGCTCCCCTCGACTCTCCTAAGCCGCTTTGTCCCCTTTGCGTGCTTGCCATGTCACCGTGGATCCAACAGAGGTTGATCGTAACATGGAGGATGGGATGATGACACCCTTCTTCCTTGTGAGTTGCGACGGAGGCCCTTAATAGCCGGAAAAATGAAACATGGCGACGCGTTCACACATTCACATAACACATGACCACACCGACATGATACATTCATTCAACATCCGTACATACATAAGGTCCAACACATTAAGCATCCAACATAGTCCAACACATTCAACATCCAACATAGTCTATACATATGCTTCATCAATCAACAAACATAGTCCAAACATAGTACAAGGTCCAATGCATACATAGTCCATGCACAAAATAAAGCATATGAAGTCTTTGGATCTTTTATCGCTCCTTGTACCTTAACGTGGACGACGAGCGTAACGCTTTCCCCTCCCAAACGGATAGGTACCTGGAGTGTACCTGTCCACTGGTCTGAGCGTCCTATGTGGACGTCCAGAACCGGAGGGGCCTTGAGTTCCTTGGGGTGCATCTCCAAGCTGGGACATGCCAATCTCATCATACTCATGATCATAGTACTCTCCCTGTCCTTCATCATCTTCATCATCATAATGACCATGTCCTTGACCACCCTCTGCAGTAGTTGCCGCACCATGTGAAGAAGAAGTCCCGCCACCATGTGCACCATGTGAAGATGAAGTCTCTCCAACATGTGCGATGAGAAGGTCCAAAGACCAAGTCGTTGTGGGACCGCCACATCCGGGGAACGTCTACATCCAAGGCGCAGCACCACCTTTTCAGAGGCGATGCATGGCACGCTGCATTTTGAAAGCACTATTAGTAAGTGGGGTTGGTCGCAAAACTATATAAAGATGTAACATCAATCAATGAGAGGAGACTACACAGAATGTCTTTGTCATAAACATGGAGGCCTCATCAGATCGCCCACAGAATCATCAATGCCCTTCCTTGGTCGGCCACCGTCCTCATTATCTCCATGCTCTATGCAACAAAACAATAATTTAAGTCTCCATCACAGTAAAGACCTCGAGATTGAAATAGATGTATCACTTACATTTCTGCTAACGCAGGGCGATCTCAACTTGCCCGCCTTCTCGGGTAGCTTGGTCATATGGGTTGTTGCCCTCATCCTCGCTTCATAATGTCGTGCAATGTCTTGCTCCGGCCAAGCGAGGCCTCAATTGAAGCCTTGTTTCGTTGACCAAACCAAACAAGGTAATCATGGAATGCCTTGTCACGATGGACGGCGTGGATGCCCATGTTGTTCTCGCTCCATCAACATCCACTCATCAATGTAGCGCCGATGCTCCAAACCGCCAGCCAGTGATCTTCTTATTTTTTGTCTGTTGAACTCAAAAATTTACACCAAATCGGCAATATGAAGGCCTACTCAATGATTCTTTCATGTGAAATGAACAAAATATTGTATGTTACATACTTGTGGAGCTGCCAACCGGTGGAGAAATCATCGGGCGGAGAAGGTCATAGCCTACCAAACTACCGTGCTACGGTGAGGGAGATGGTACTCCACCGCATAGAAACAAATAAGGGGGTCCTCATCATCCGACGCCCTCGCCTCGCCATGCACAAGGCGCCAAGTTGAGATCCGTTATTTGCCTCCGCCGATATGGGCTCCATTGAACTCAGACAACATCGTCATCAACTAGTCGACACTCAATTTGTGCACATATCCTCGATTAGGGCAAAAGGGTGGGAAACTTACATGTCAGGCAAAAGGGTGTCCAAATTCGTTGGTGAAGCCGATGTATGCACGCGTGGCGTGACACGTGGTATGTTCCGTGGGCTCGCTCATAGAGGTGTGCCACCAGTAGGGGCGACAACTGCGTCTCCTTGAGGAAACCAAGGTTGTGGGGATCAAGTCGATGCGGTCTCCCAAACTGGAAGCCTCCCCACATCCAAATCTACAAAAAAAGAGTGGAAACATGAATGTTAATCACTTTTGTTAAAAAAACATTGAATTGTAGTGGAAACTTAATTTGCTTTATTACTTCTGATGCACCCCGACACATTGTAGCGTCATATGGCGGCAAGCCTCGCAAAAGCGATTTCGGAAAGGCAAGTATAGCCGAGCCCCAACTCCTATTGCCGGTATCCTCCCAGCTCAAAAGGCACGGGATGTACATCTAGGATGCCGTGTCTCCAAAGGCTGTCGTGGAAGAGAACCGTACCTAACATGTGGAGGATGTAGGCCCGACAAAGAGTATGTCACGGTCTCGGCGTCTCGTTGGGTGGGCACTCCCGAAACCACCGACGAAGCCACCTCGAGGGACACCCCATCGCTGCAAGGCCGCTTTTTGCCGACCTCAATCGCCGCTAGGGGCCGTCCCAAGAAGTGCTCAACCCGCTCATTTGCCATCCTTCGACTCCGTGTCTCCCTGTCACTGGGAATCCTCGATTTTGACTCCAATGATCATGACAACGTCCTCGAGAGTGACCGTCATCTCCTCGCATGGTAGGTGAAAGTTGTGTGTCTCCTGGACACCACCGATCTATCAACGCCGTCCGGCCTGGGTTGAAAGGTGGCGTGCCTCGATGACAAACACACGAGCAACGGTAGCAAGGTTCGCCACTTCGGGAGGGGTGTGTACCTCTCGTCAGAGACCATGGTCGAGAGGCCTCATGTGTCATTGGCCTCAAAGACATTCAAAACTCCGCAAAAAAAAGACAAGCATGAAAAGTATTAGTTCATGTCACTTTATAAAGAGCATGGACTATAGAGCAAAATATGAACAATGCAATGTTTTCATACGAATTGTTGAATATACCTCTTCGTTTCGATCCTCCGAGCCCGGTGGTGCTCATCGAACCTTGGATCAAGAAGGGGAACCGATCCATCCTGCAACATAAGCAATGCCAAACCATTAGTATAAGTTAAAGCATGTGTGTGGTACGCAAGTAACATAAAAATAAAAAAAACAAAAGTAAACCAATGTACCATTACACAAAGCAATTCTAGTAGCTAGCTTGATGGATACCATTGTCTAAGTAGTTCAGGGACATTTTCTCTTATTGTGGCCCTACTTATATGCAACCAGAGCAACGGCTCTTTTGGGTGTCCTCTACAAAATGTCTCCCAACCTTACTCGTGGTTGATCTACCTTTCGTGGCTCGGTCCATGTCCATCCCGAACCGCTCCTTACGCCTAGGTCCTCTACTCTTCCAGAGTAAACCAAGATCACCCACATACTTGGGGCCATCATAAGTAGGCCATTGACTCTCGTCAAGAAATGGCTCGAATCGAGGATTCCAGTGCTCATTAGGTTCCTCAAAGAGAACTCCATGACCATATGGGGAGGGACCTCGTGGTCAACACGCCTAAGGCGACAGTCAGAAATCATGTGGGAGCAAGGCCTATGGTATATGATCGGTTTTCCACACGTACACTTGTTCTCATCATTGATCACTTTATGTTTTCGAGCACCCCGTCTTTCACCACCAATGTTAGTTCCGCCACCCTCTAGAATCTCATATCCATGGTTGATCGGATCGAAACATGAACCCTTCTCGTCGTTTAGACTTTTTCTTTGAGAAAGCTAGTTCTGAGATGCTAAAAGTGGCCAAGCTTTGCCTCTTGTCCATAGAGACCTCGCATGCTTCTTCCTCGAAATGAACCAAGAATTCAACTTGTAGAAGGTGAATGAGGCAATAGCGATCCACAGTGCGGACCACGACAACCTCTTAGAAGGTCATTGAACATCTCTCGCCATGTTACTAGTCATGAAGCCCCATCTCCAACCACCCGTGTCATATGCAAGTGACCACTTATCCTTCGACGCCATCAACTCGCTCAAGAATTGCCTCGCCATCAACATTTGTGGCTAACTTCGTGGCATCTAACTTGTCTTTGAATAATTGAACCTCTTGTCACCGCAAAACCTCCTCAAATAATTTGAAGTTGTCCTCTGTGTGATCACGCCTTATAAGATTCTCGAGCAAGGTGTCCGGTGCACCACCGGTGATGTATTTGGCCATAACCAGAATCTCTTGTTCTACGGCATTCGTAATGCCAAAGATGCCTATTGGATATCACACAAACATCACGTCCCGCACTAATTACCACTTGTCTTACTAGCCCGAGAAACCAACACCAACTATCCGTGTCCTCCTTCCGAACAATCGTAAAGGCCAATGGCACAAGCTGGTCCTCCTCGCATCTGTCCCAATACAAATAAGCATTGTGCCTTCAAATTTCCCTATAAGAAAGGTCCCACAATTGAGACGACGGGCTGCGCAATGCTTGAATGCTTCGATGCTCTCTCCTCAACGCCCAAAAACGCCCTTCCAAATACTCGCTACCATTCCTTGTTTCACCCTCCTTAGGTAAATACTCAAGTGCATCCCAGATTTACACCCTCATTATGCGTTCAACATTACAGGAGGCGCTCATAAGCTTTTTCTAATTTCCAAATATTATTTCCAAAGCACGCTTTGCCCTCCATGCTTTCCCATACTTGACATAGTAATTGTACCATTGGAAGATGATCTCAACCAACGCAGACACCGTAATGGTTGGCATATGCTTCACCACGGGGCATAATTGCCTTGCAATGAACCTAGAATTGAGCTGCAGATGGTTCTCTTCTGCCTCAGCAGTGGCACAAACATGTGGTTGCTTCACTGAGGTAATCTTCCATTTGCCACCTTCGCCTTCCTAGCACATATTCTCCAACCACACCGTTGTTCTTCACAAGCAACAAAGGTACCTCTTCTCCTTGAATGAATTGATGACCCTAAAAGGTCGGTTATGTACAATGGAGTACTCTTGCAACCATGATTTCAACTCATCCATGGTAGCAAACAATATGCCCTTCCGTATGATGAGGCAACCGCTAACATCAGGCACAGTTGTATCACTTGGCCCACCATCACCATCGCCCTATGACCATGGCTAAGGTCCTCGAAATCACCAACTAGTGGATCTCTCCAAGGCAAGACCCTAGACAATATCTCTATTTCTCTTAAATTGAGACGACCAATGCAGGCGATCGTCATCGAGTCTTCGCTATCTCCTCTCTGAAGGACTCATCATCTCCAGCTATCTTCATGTCAAAACGGTTCGTAGCCCTAGCATCACCAAAGTCTTCTTCACTACTAAGATCATCTTCGTCGCTAAGCTCATCCTCAATAGAAAAGTCTCCGCTAAGCGTCATCCAAACCTTCTTCTTCCGCATCAACAATTACATAATCATCATCCTCTTCATCACTATCATGATTGCCCTCACCATCGGCAACCGGATTCTCTTCCTCATCTCCACCGTAGCCTAGTTGTGTGACAAATATTTCTTCTTCGTGCAAAGGACCATAACCTATGTGAGCGGGGAAGATGGCCATGCTTCAAGTTATCATTTCCTAAGCCGACTCCTTACTTACTACTAAATCCAAAGATCGCACTTCGAGGCCAATACAACGCCTTATAATCATTCCATTCACTCTAAACTTGTAATTTTGAGTAACCGCTTGATCCGAGGACCCTTCGATGACCCAACATCTATGACACCTTCAAACCGAACATGCACGCCTCCTTCATTCCAAATTAACTTAACCTTCACTCGCTCCACTAATCTGGGTCAAAGATGGTGTTTCGAAAAAATCAACAACTCCTCACACATGTCCGTAAATTCCAAACTATCATCTCTTGTCCTAACAATACGGCCTCCATGATGCAACCTCACTAATTTATCCATCTACAACCATCACACAACAAGTAGTGTAACATATGAATATATTTCAATCCAATAAGTAGAAACTAAAATATATCATTTCATCGTTTTTTCAACCCCAACAACATAATCATTTCTAGTCATAACAAATTGAAATGTAATGACCAACAAATAAATAAAATACATAGTAACCCTAATGATCAACAAATAACTAACCCTAATGACACCTACAAACAAATAACCCTAATGACCAAAATAACTAGAAACCAAACTAACCTAACATGTTCATCACATAAAACAGTTAAACAACAATGCACTCAATCATTCTAAGCCATGCATTTTGCAAATGCAAACACAAATATACCAAATCACCAAACAACCATGATTCCACATGATTAGGGACAATGTAAGCACATCTACGCGGATAGAATGGAGGAGGGAAGGGACCATTACCTCGAGGAAGCTTCGGGAGCCGAGATCGTGGCACCGGGGGTCGATTTTGGAGGTTAGGGTTTGTCAAGCGGCGCGAGGAGAGAAGAGAGAGAGGGAGGCCGGCGGTTTCGTAATGAAGGAGAGGAAGAAGGGGCCTCGGCCTGCCTAAAGGGTCCGCACCTCGGCGTTGAGTCGAGTCACGCCGAGGTCCGGAGGCTCGGCGTTATGACCCAACGCCGAGTCTTTGGGCCACCGTGCTTTGTTGGGCCGCCTAGGCAGCGCCCGGATGGGGCGGATCTCGCCTGCAGCAATGACCGCACACCGAGGTTGGGTACTTGGCGTCGGCTGACACGACGCCGACGTCGCGGACCCACGCGCCAACGTGTCGACGACGACCCCGGTCGTCCGTGACGTGGCAATACCTCGGCGTCTAGTGACACGGCGCCGAGCCTCATATCTCGGCGTCATGTGCTAAGACGCCTAAAATGGTCTATTTTCAGAAAATATTTTGATGTTGGTATTTTTCTAAATATTGTTTTCAAAAGAGACCAAAATACGAAAATTTCAGCACATCGAGAAACCAACCGTGGGCGTGGACAGACATTTCCTTGTTCCTGTGAATGCATGAATGTTACAAGCCAAGTGCTTTAACTGAGAGGTGCTCCTGATCCAATCCAAGCTGTGTGAATCAACTGCATCTCTTACTTTTTCACTTAGAACAGATGTCATCAGTCATGTGAAGTGTAAACCCAATTCGTGCACCTCCTCTTGGATTTTCTCGTGTGTTTGCAGTTTGACTGCTGCTAACTACAGTAGTAGCAGAGCATCTCATGACACGGCAAACAAAGCAAAGCGGACAAGTGAGCGCACCGACGCCGCCTGCCTGCCCCCTGCATTGCCATTGGCCACACCGGTCAAAATTAAAACGGGGAGCAAGCGGAGAACGCGGAACGGCTTGCCGTCCGCCGGCAAGGTCGCCGGAGGCCGACGGTGCTCCGTCGGTTTCGACCACCGTGGCATCGATTCGGATGGCTGTCTCCCGTGTAGCTTGATCTGTGGCCCGCCAACGGGGTTTCTTTCTGGGCCTGGCCAGAGCCATGCCAAGTCGCCGGCTGCCAACCACTGGGCTGGGCGCTGGCGTGACTGTGCGGTCGGGTGATCGGTGGTCGCCGTGCGTCATCCTCCAAGAGACCGGCCGGAGAGCTGGACGATGCGACGCCGGAGAACGATCGACGCACACCGGCCGCCCGTGCCTGCCCCGTGCGTTGTCCAGAAAAATCGCGTGGCCGTGCGAGCAAAATAAATTCTGCGGCCGAAACGAAGCAACGGGAGCTGCCGTACGCTGACAGGGACCAAATCGACGGCGCCGTCTCAACGGCACCAATCCATGGTCACCGGTCAGGATACACAGCGCGCGGCGAGCAGTTAGGAGCGGCTGATGCTGTGGGTGGCCTCGGCTCCGGCGCCGTGGCCGGCGTGCGTCCCCTTCCGTCCGTGTACTCGCGCGTCTCGTCGCTGCTGTCCATGAAACACTTGTTTGGCGGGCCGCGGGCGGCGATTGGAATCCGCCGGCATGGCAGGGACCTGTTCCTGATCTCTGCTCTCAGGATCATAAGACTGATCAGGGGTACCTTCAACCTGACAACATCTGAAGCTCTGAAACCCAAAGCCAAAAGAAAAGGCGTTTCGAGAAGCCAAGAGACGGCGAGTTGGCAATGGCGAGTCACCTCATGTTGTGCATCACGGCTATGCTAGGAGACGTGGAGAAGCTAGCCGCAAGAGCACTGGTTCCTGTCGTCATCACGGCCAGGAGCCAACGGAGAGTTTGTAGCTATGCCTATGCGGATGAAGACAACAAGAGCATCTGTACTGTACAGTCACGGTTAGCAGTGGATTGACATGGATGGTGTTATGGCACGTGACTCAATCCGGCACCGCCGGCCGGCCAGACGCCTCTCGCACGCAAGGGCTGCCGTGCGTGACCCGCGCGCCCGCTGCCGCTCGGGTGCCCGGGAGTCTGGACCCCGCTCCCGACGACCGGAGGACGGAGGCCGCCGGCCAGCCACCGTGGCTGGCGTTTCAGGTCTCCACCCACCACCTCCCGGCTCGCTACAGAGGAGACGAGCGGACGACATGGATGGAACCACAACCACCTGCTCTGACTCGCCGTCGACCATGCACGCTTGTTGGCAGAGCAAACAACACTTCGAAAGAACATTAAGTGCCAGTGACAGGTAGTAACAACCACGCTACTCATGGCTTTTACTCATGGTCGGTGCGCAGTACATGTATGCACTCTTCTACTTACAAAAAAGCCTCTCGTTGCTCAGCCCACCGGAGCGCTGAGGTCCGGTCCCTCTTCAGAGTCGAGAGTCCAGCCTTCAGTTGTGTAGCGGGTTGGGCCCCTGCGGCACAGTTCTCTTGGACTCGGACAGATCCTGCACGCGCCTCCAGGGAGGTCTCTGCCGGCCGTGCTTGCTGGAGAACGACGGCGAGTAGTGTCCTTGAGCTCCCCTCGGAGGCAGCGGCGGCGACTCGACGTCGTCGTGCGCCATGATAGCCACCTCGGAGCCCGGAATCCACCGGCCGTGGCAGAACAGGCATCTCAGGTCTGCTCCCAGGAGCGAGACTGTGAGTACTACTACCATGAACCTGACGAAGCTTTGTCGTGGCGATCCCATGGTTTCAGGGTTTCAGACAAGCCGAGGAAGTTGGAGATGGCAAGAGAGTCTTCTGATTCTGAACAGAGGTGTGTTGGTTTCTCAGTCGCTGTGCTATATAGCGTGCAAGTGCAATGCATCAAGGGATTAGGGATGGTGGTGTCCTAGCTTAGCTAGCCCAAAGTCAAAACCATCACTTGACGGGATTTCTACGATACTGTAGTTCGTACTAGTAGTTTATTAATTGTAGCTTATACTAGTAAGTTTATTGTTTATAATACATTTGGATGATGTCATGGTCACACACAGGCAACGGAATAAGAGTTTATATACGCGGGTGCAGACAACAAGAGCGGCACAGAAAGTAACCCAGCTCGGCCATCTGGAGACCCAGGGGGAGCTGCGGTTGAATTGCTGAGGCGATACGAGACACCGGGGCAGGCGTGCGCTTGCCTCACCAATTTGGCTTGGTGCGGACACCGGATAGCAATCGAAATCGAAAGGGATCAGAGGTCGCCGCTGACACTGACGGCGAAACCCAGTGTCATGCCATGCCTAACAGAATTGTGGCTGGAGCTGGGCTTGGAAAGATGGTTTTGCACGGATGCGGTACAGGGAAAACACTGTTGGGACGTATCATTGCGATATCAACAAGCAATCCTGCATATGGTCAGGTCAGGTCAGGTCAGCCGTTAAGGTCTGAAGACGGAAGTGACCGGCCCCAAGGAAAACACGGATGTGGTACAGGGAAAACACTGTTGGACCATCAGTTATCCGTCAGGGAAAGAGAACAATGATACATCATCACAACATGAATTCTTTTTTACTCTGGAGAAGAATGGTTGGTTTCTTTGCAGACTTTGTATTTGCAGAAGAAAACCCACGCGCTCTTATTTTTTGTGAGTATACAGATTTGACCCAGTTTCATGTCGAATTCCCAGTTATGTTCTATGATGGCACGATCATCCTATTTCATGCCTTTACAAGAATGGGCACAGCGGTTTCCTGGGTGAAAGGAGACAGTGGCCAGAAAACACAAGAAGCTCGCAGCTTGGTTAGGCATCATAAGCAAGCCGTTGAAATTTCTGCCCTTGCTAATCATGTTAGCCTTGGGAGAGATCATAGTCCGGTTCCGGTCTGAACTTCGAGCGGTGTATCACTTCTTGATTATTCTCAAGACATCGCCAATGAGATGCAGGGAGCCAGTAACCAACACCTAGTTCAGTCCCATCATCAGATCAAAATGTGTCAGCATCGGAGTGTGAAGGCAGTTAGATAAACAAAATACCAAAAAAGAAAAACGAGATAATAGTTCCTAAATTGTGTTTTAAAAGAAAAAGGAGCAAATAAACAAGACCCCTGAGAGAGAGAGGATAAAAGAACGACAGAGGTTACAAAATAACAACAGTGGCAAACTTGAAGCAGCATTTGATGACTTGGTATACACATGTTAGTTATGAACGCATGGGCAATGAAAGGCAACAAACATTCGGCCAAATATCAATATGCAGATTTCTGCGAGGGAAAGGTTATGTTCTCATGAGAGATTTTACCTGGAAAGAAGTAGATTGGTTTTCTCGGGCATGTCTCCTTAGCCACTCGATTGCGAGTGGAAGCGATTCAAAAACTTGACTAGTATCACTAGATTTTGTAGTATTTATACCTGCACCATTTACTTGCAAGTGTTACATTATATTCAGACCAGATAATGCTTGTTTCAAGGGGAAAAAACATACAAGGCACTAAGAAAGGCAGCATAAATGGCTAAAGAAATCAGGTTCAGATTTCACAAGAACCTTTTTCCTGAAGTAACTTCTCCCACACTGTTTGGAGCGACAACTGCCATGATAAATCGATTTGCTCAGGCTCTGCAGGTGCTGAAGTATTAGAACCAAGCTTGTTGTATTGTGATTGGTTCGGCGCAAATAGGGCTAGATCAAAGTGGACTCCTGACAAAATTAGACCAAAATGAATGCACCCATTTAACTTAGGACTGGAAAAAGTTGCACTTGAAAGTGAAATCAACAGTAAATAAACCAGTAACTTCACACAGAACTCGAACTCGAGTGGGCAGTAAATTCATTTGGTTCCCGTTAAACAAATTGAGATAATAAATTAAACAACACATTAATTAATGGTGAATGATTGCAAGGGAAATTTTCCAGGAGATGATGAAAATTTTTAAGGTACCATTTTGAGTTGATGCATCCAGGAGATGAGGAAGCAGTCTCATCGGATCTCTCACAGACATGCAATTGAACAGAAGGATCTGCAAAATCAGTTCCAAAATAATATTTTTATATAAGGGAGGAACCTACTGTAAGATGTAATGCACACAAAAGCAGGTCAATTGAAGCATGAAAAAAAGCGCAGATATGCCGTGAGACATACCTTTTGAGACCTAGATGTCTGAGACTGCTCCACGGAAGATGTTAGCCTTCTATCATCCTTTGTGGCATGGGAAAACCACTTGGCACATATTTCCATACTTTCAGGACTGTGCGCTCCATCCAAATAGAAAACAAGCGAACAATCTTTGTCCTTCTCTTCTGAATTCACTTGTGAATCTGGAACAATCTGTGCTCGGCCTTGCAAAGAAGTGCTTGATAGTCCTCTAATAAAATGATCTGGCAAGGGATCCTGAATTCCATCATAGCAGGACAAATTGTCATACCATCTTTCTTTTTAGAAAAGCAACATGATTGAGAGGACTTACAGTACGGTTGAGTGGTATCCTGTCCTTATGTCCCTGCTTCTCAAGCCACGAACTAGCCAAAGCAACTGCAAGGCCAGCATTTATATATTGATGTTCGCCATGGAGTCCAAGATGTTGATCTTTTAAGTGATGGGGCTCCAGAGGATCAGCGACTTGGAGAGAGATCTTCAGAAACCAATGTTGCATTAAGTGTCATGGCTAGAATAGAGGCAACCAAAAAAGAAAGAATGGAATCGATGATAGGACATACACCCAACTCCGAAGCTCTTTGTTTGAGAGCAGTCATTGCCTCTTCTGGTTGTGGAGCAGTATAGGCTGGAACTCCTTTCTGACACAAGAGAACCAGAAAAGTAAGAAAATTGGCTATATAATTTGAATAGCTTTATAGGAAAGTAACTAAACAAAACCTTGAAAATCCCAGCCTTCTCCCCTGCGATTTCTCCAAGCGTATTCCCTGCTCACAGGCAACAAAGTAAAGATGAGACTGAAAGCATGAACCTAATGATAGAGGTACTTCAACTGTCAGTTACATGACTAACCAAGAATTTCCATATGATCATATCCAAGGGAAGATATTCCACAAACTACAGGTTCTTTAACCTGCAGACACCCAAATTTAGAGACCAGTCAAGATCTTTGATTTTTGATAGTTCAAGATAACAGTGGTAATATAAATGCTGTCAGAAAGCCCAGAAGAAACTCAAGGTAAATTTAAACACAGAACCATTTTGAAAGTCAAGTTGACACTGAATCTTAGACAAGAAGCAAGCATATAAATTGACCTAGTCCATCCTTTTGCATATAATACAAGGATGCTCACAAAAATAAGCATGCAATATTTTTCAGGACTAAAACGGCACAGTTCAAGTTTACTCTGGGTTTTGACTACTCAAGATGAGTTTTATACACAACCTTCGGTTATATATTACTGCAATAGAACATCACATACCACATTAGTTGCGTCAAACTTCCCTCCTAGGCCAACCTCGAGAACAGCAACGTCTACCTGTTATAGTCAGAAAAAGACAGGGGAAATGATTGGGCAGATTCCAGCGAAGCTCAAAAGGTATGAATAATCAGTAAGTTCCGAGTGTCAGAAGAGCATATATGTGATAGATGCGTGAATGTGTACCTCAAAATCACATATTAACACGGCGCCATGCATGTAAAATGACTTTAGCATCTTGAATATCATCCAAAGAAGGCAGAAAGAGTAGGAAATGCTTGTATTTGCTTTACCTGCTCAGCAGAAAATATCTTGAATGCGAGCAATGCGAGGAACCTGAAATAGGCTGGCATGGGAATATCATCATCAGTCTTCTCCTGGAAGTAGCCCATTTACCTCATCATCCACCGGTTTATATAGAATAGGAGCAATATGATGAGAACAGACAGGTTACAGAACAAATGCAAAAAGTTCCTGATGGAATCAATTCAGTGGTTTCTGCTTTGTCAGTTCAAGGCACTAGGCATCCAGCACAGACCGCTTTATATGAAATGAGTAATCAAGACACTTACCTTCAACTTGTTCCAGCACCACCAAAAGTACTTCAAAAATTTTTCTTCAGAAATATTAACCCTGATGCCGTCAGAAAGGAGGAGCTAGGGTCAGTGCGATCATAAATTCATAACACCTACTTACAGGGACAATATAAGAAAGATGACACAGCACATCTGCATACAAAAAAATCATTTGGAAGTTCATAGGATCTACTGTTGTCAACACCACAACCAGATGCAGGTATATAAGATAAAAGAACAGTAGGAAAAAGAATTACCCATCCAGCCGAAATCGCTCCCTAATATCCATCAAATGTGGTGAGGTGAACAGCCCAGTATGGAATCCACATGATCGCAGGATTGACTCGGTGAATGTGCATGTGGAACCCTGTAGATAGATACAATCAATGCCTTGTTCAATTGACGCCAAGTCAGGGCCCTAAAAGAATTCAGCATTTCTCATTTCTTATTACTACTGTACAAAGTCACAGTTCAATGCTAGCCATTACAGATACGGAAATGGTTGTATCACATCCTGATACCAATCACGAATAGCATTAAACTGCGACTTTTGTAAAGCTTAACACTTCACATTGTTTACATTTGCATTCCAACCTAGCCGTGATTGCCTAGCTGTTGTTTTACAGTACAGATATTAAATTTGAACTTTCTGATCAAACTAAAAGTGACACAGCATCTAACTCGAGGATGCCACTAGTTAGTTTACCTTCCCCTTGGTCCCCGCGACGTGAATCACTTTCATCCGCGCGATCGGCTCCTCCAGCTCCAGAATCTACCCACCATTTCATACCAACCAGATCGAACAATCAAACAACCATCCTATTACGATTCAGAAGAACCCTGGCAGTAGGAGGAGGAGATCTTATAAATTCTCAATGCACGGAGCCACGGACCTTGACGTAGTGCGCCATGAGGTCCCACTGGTTACCGCGGTTGCCGCTGTGCGCGCGCACCTTCTGCGTGATGAGCGAGGAGAGCCGCCCCAGCACCTCGTCGTACTCCGCGGGCGCCGGCGGCGTGCCACCTGAGAAGAAAGCCCGACCAAACACACGCACACACCGCCGCCGTCAGTCATCACCTCACCAAGCGTCAGCCATAGCCCGCAGGCACTGGGAGTGGGTGTTGTAAGCAAGCAAGCAGGCTCGGTCCCTCACCTGGCTGCGTCTGCGCGGCGGCGGTGGTGGAGGCCATGGCGCGGCGGATGATGAGGTGGGTGGAGGGCGAGAGGAGGAGCAGGCGCCGGAGGTGAGCGGCGACAGGGGGAGGCGAGCGCATAAGCGTCGTGGAGCAGGCGCGGGGAGTGCCGGTGGGAGGGTGGAGGTGGAGAAGGGGGTTGGTGGCGCTGCCGGCGGCGCCGTGGTGGGCCCCACGGGCGCCGCAATGGCGCATACAGAGAGATTCCAACTGGTGCGGACGGCAACTGGCTGGCTGACTGGTGGGCCTGTTTATTTTTCTTACCGGATTGAGTGGCGGGCGGCGGCACAGCATGTATGATCCGGTAGGTGGGTGATACGCAGGTTGCCCGCTTCGATGGAGAAGAAGTACGCCTTCACGTGGCAGAAGCGTACTTCAGTTCAGTTGTTGAGCTGCGCATTCAGAGCTATGCAAGTGCAGCAAGTTCAGGCTGCACACTGAAGAATCTTGGCTTCTTGGGAGTGCTCAACTGCAGATGATTTTTTTTGAAACGATGAACTGCAGTCTGCAGATGATGGAATGCATCAAATTATCAAGCCGCTGGCCTCGAAAAAAAATTATCAAGCCGCTGGGAGTAATAAATTTTCTATCCACTTTGAGGGTTAGTTTGGAAACTCATTGTTTTGGCATTGAATTTTTCCCAGAGTGAGCAATGTATGGGGATATCATTTGAATGTCATTTAGTTCTCCACTTCTCCGTGGGGGGCTTTCCTTCCCTAGGTTTGCCTCCCTCTTGCCTTCAGATTAGGCCTTATGGAATTGTTGATTTGGTCCGCCATCAGTGTTTTCTCACTGTTTCTCTGCAGGTTAGCTGGTGACATATGCTCAGTGAGCACACCTACTTATGTTTCAGCAAGTTTTTCTCTAAATGCCTTTTGTTGTTGTTTTTCCTTTTTTTACTCGAGTCCTCCTTTGCACAGTGCCTTTTGATCCCTCTTACATCAGTACAAGTTCGGTAGATCTGCTGGCGACCGTTTCAAAAGGAAAAAGAAAGTTCTTCTCTGAATGTTTCCGTAGTGCAGTTGAAGATTAGGAGCAAGAAACAGGACGCCTGATGAAAATACAGGTTCCCAATTCGCAGAATTTTGCATGAAGTCTTCAGAGAGGACATTGCCTTTCCTGTGGCGTCTTTCCATCCAACAAAGAAAATACAGCAGAAGACTACATCTGCCGGATGCGAAACGCATAACCAGTTTCTCAAACTGACAAAACTCTCATAATAAGAATTGAGAAGAAAGAACAAAAGGTATCCATCTCCAGTTCTCCACTGCACTGCACTCCTCCTATGCTTAATTATACACAATTCCTTTACAGACTGCACCACCAGATGTCAAGCAAAGCCTCCCAATACAACAGAAACAACCACACACACACACACCAAGGGCATTTCAGATACATACACATGCATGTACACACCGCCAAAAACACGCATTCCACCACATCTACAAGCAACAGTTGTTCCCAGCATACGTATATCACATCGCCATTTCTTCAGGCTTTCAAGAGGCCGAAGAGCTTGGTGGGTGCCTCGCCCTTGGCGCGGTACTTGGCGGCCATCTCCTCCGCCAAGATGATCTCCTCCCCGCGCTTCGCCTCCGTCTGCGCCCTCCTCTCCTCCGCCGTCTTGTGCAGCATCGCCAGCTTGTTCTTCAGCTTCTCCTCGTACGCCGCCTTCTTCTTCTCCAGTTGCTCCTGCCAATTGCCATGCACGTCGTCGTCAGTTACTAACTAACGACTCTGCTCTCCACTATAACAAACTCTGCTGCACCTGCAGCAATACTAGCTAATAGGTGACTTGTCATCGTCCACCTCCCTCTTTTCAACTCACCTCGATCTTTTTCAGCTCGGCCTCCATCTCTGCTTTCTTCGCGTTCTCCCACGACGTGATGAAGGCAAGCTTCTTGGCGGCCCTGTTGTCATGGACCATTGCATTGCAGGCAAACGCAGCAAGTGAGTTAGTTGCAGACACAAAGTACGAGCTGATGCTGTTGGTGTGGTTGAGAGGTCAGTTGCATCGATCCTCCCTGCATGCGGCGGAGACGATCGAAAGGTGTGCTTTCGTTTCATCGTGCTTTGAGTGCGTCGTAAGATATAGTGTGACTGTGATGGTATCTCTCACCCATCGAAACGAAACGGAGTGATGTGCCCGTTCGAGTAGCACGCGTCACTGGTGATTTGATCCATTTTTATTGCTTTTATTTAAGCAGCTGACAGTTAAACATATATAGCTCGATGCTTACTTTTAAGCAACTCCCAATTAAATATAGCTCAGAGAGACCTTTTACCTGTTCTCGGCTCTCGCCTTCTCGCTCTCCTCCCAGGCGGTGATCAGAGTCAATCTCTTCTCGGATACAATTTTCGCGAGATAAGCATCTGAAGAAAAAGGGAATGAATGGAGCGAGATGAGTGTAATGAGTTTGAACCAGCTAGAATTCTTGTTTTTTCTTTGTTCGCTAAATAAACTGAGAATTTTGATGAGCATCCTTTTGTTTTTGTTGGTTACCTCTTTCAGTTGAACCTCCAATAGTTGCAGGTTTCTCAGCAGCGTCTGGCAAATAAAAGAGCAGTCGTATCAGAAATTTTCAGAAGAAAAGGCTTATTTGGTTCTCAGTGCTCAGTGCTCGGTTGATGGTGCTGCTTCTCCTACCTCCGATCCTCTAGGCATCACATTAATTTGAATGATCTTGGTTTGCAGTTTGTGAAGAAAACTGATCCATGTTGCCAAAGAAATTAAAATTTACGAGCATATGCAGCAACACTCTTATGTTAACTTCTTATTTTGTTTGTCTCATTTTTACTTCAAAAGCAGTACGGTGGAAATAAAGGGAACTTATTGTCCCCAAACAGCCAAACTAATCGATCTGCTTTTCTGAAATTCCCCTCTCTCAGCCTAGTCGGCTAGACGAAGAATGGTCAGGTAAAAATTGCTCCCTGCATGATCTTTGTAAAGTTTGGTTTGGGGAGATTTCCAACAAAGCTCCTACCTTTTCTTTTTTGTAGAAAAAGAAATTCTACTAGCAGCTAGTGCAAAGCAGCAGACATAAAAGAAATCGTATTGTCGGGATGAACGAGAAGGAACGAACAAGGATGGTACTGTAGCTAGTTACGTACCCTTGACAACAGCGACGATGGCCTTGGAGTCGTCGTCGGCAAGCTTGGCGGGCGGGGGCGGCAGCGGCACGACGGCCTTCTCCTCGGCGATGTCCTTGGTGGCCTCCACCTCCACCTTCTTGGCCTCCTCCGCCGCCATCTATCTCTGCTAGCTAGGTGGTGGTGCTGAATTCAGTCAGATTCAGATGGGTCTCCTCCTCTCAATCAGCAGCAGGTGAGCCTGCAAGCTACTCCTAAGACACGACGTACGCTAGCTTAGAGAGCTAGAGAAAGAATGGTGTGGTGGCTGGGCAGTCTGGCACGAGGAGGGGGATGGCTCAAACAGTTAGCTGCTGCTAGGTGGTCGTCTGGTCGATATATAGAGGAAGTCAAGCAAATAAAGGTGGCTTTCTAGCCAGCTCAGGGTATATCGTATATGTAGAGAGAGCATCTCAACAAAGTATACTTGGTTTTCTAAGCAAGAACAACAAAGCACATCTCTTATTATAAAAAAAAAGCATATCTCTTATTATATTATTACCAACTACTTATGTAGTAGTGTTTGTTTAACTAACTGGACAGCTATTATTACCAACTACTTATGTAGTAGTGTTTGTTTAACTAACTGGACAGCTACCAAGGTGGCTTAATAAACAAGGGAAGTAGTGATATATGAATGGATCGATGGCCTGTTCCAGGCAGGCGAGGCGATCGATCGATGTGAGTGAGATAGTGGTGGGGCCGGTTTGCATCTGCATTTGCATCATCGAGATGCTTGGATCCATTCAAGGTGCACTCTGTGGTAGGTCTGCTAGGAGCAGACGAGCAACAGTTACGTTGTGGTGACTTTTAGCTGCAGAAGAGTCAATATTACAGCTCTCCCGTTATGAAATGTTGTATGAAATTAAATGTTCAACATATATGTAATCCGACGAGTCCTTTTGATTTCACACGAATTTGCATTGGTGTATGTATAAAATAGCCAAATTAAGTCCGGTTGTCTATCGTACGAAATGTTATTCGTTTCGCTGAAATTTGGTTTATGCTGATTTATTGTTGGTTCATTAAAAAAAATACTGCTAACGTACTTCAGCGTGGTGTTGGATGCACGTCATGCTGCGGCCATGGCGACTCAACTCAACCGCTGCCAACCTTGCATGGGGGCCAGATAAATAAAGGATAGGACAGCCGCCACCTCAGTCACAGCTACTAGATTCTTTATAGACCAGACCACGCATAGAGTAGAACGAACGAGCTGGTCCTGTTGCAGACTTCGTTCAACCGATATACCTATCTTTCTTGCTTTCAGGAGCAGGACCAAATTGCACTGCACGGCCGGGGAAATAATCATCATTATATGTACTCCGTATGATAAAGGAGTACACAGCTAGCTGAGAGATTCCAAGCATGAGCTTTCGGCTGTCAACCAGTTCATGAACATATGTGTGTGTGTACCTGCCAGAGAATCTGGGGTACTATGGATTCTGAAGAGCAAAGTCATGCACAACTACACGTACACTAACCCGTGGAGATGGAATAATTTAAGCTGGTGTGGTGAGGGCCCGGTTGGGGTTGCCTTTTCCTGTGAGAATCAGCAATCATATCATTAACTTAGGATAAAGGCCCCGTTACATGTCATTCCATTAGACACTGCACAGGAAATAAGAGAATACGTAACCCTTTGGGAAGAGGTGAGCTAAATCCAGCTAATAGAGAATACAGAGGACAGCATCCGCTGGCGTTGGACGGTGGATGGGGAATACACAGCCAAAAGCGCCTATTGTATTCAATTCCAGGGCACATTCAGCAAACTGAAACTTCAACCGATTTGGAAAGCAAAGGTGGAACCCAAATGTAGATTTTTTGCTTGGACTTTGCTGCATAAAAAATCCTAACGGCAAACAATT